CTTCAGATAGAATATGTTTTTCTATTTTTGTATCTACAGTATTTTTGCATTATAAAAATAAGAGCATTATTTGGTTAAAAGTCAAGCTATTGAGCCATATGCATGCCTGGATCATCACCATATAAATATAATCAGTGAAGCTTTGCATGGAACTGGAAACATGCTGTGTCATCAAATTCTAACTTTCTCCTACACAGCACTGTCACGTAAAGGCCGAAAAAAAATGGCAAAAATCTTGAATTAACAGAATCAAAGCTCTTCTGAAAACGCAGAGATTATAGTTAGTTCTGAGTTACCTCTCAAAAAAAGGTGTATGGTGTACAGCCCATGTAAGAATGCAGTTTGGTCTCTTGACTGGAACTGCTTAAATTGGACTACCTCAAACATAGCGATGATCTTCTGGAACAGCATTCTGATTTGGCTTACTGCTCAAGAACCTGCTGCTAAACTTATCTTTTTTCTCTGACAGCCAAAACACTGAACCTTCCTTCTAATAAGTAGATGCAAATGGAAAACTTAAAAAAAAAAAAAAAAAAAAACTGTGTCTACCATTAAAATGAATCTTGGTGTGCAAATCCTGGGCCTACCTTTTAAAAATGCAAAGGTAACTCTACTTTACCCAGAATTTCAAAAATTCCTGAACTGTTTCAATTACTTATTCAACAGTCTCCACATTTTAAAAAGAAAAAGAAATCCCCAGGCCTATACCTTTCTTCCCTAGCAGTGCTATTGTTTCTCAACCTTGCTACAGACATCAGAAGAAATGCAGTCACAAGAAATGCACAAATATGCACAACTTTTCTCCTGTTTTTATCTTCAGATGAGAGCAAAATGGATGGAAATATCGGAAAATATCATGAAATAACTACTAGGGCATTTCCATTCCATAATTCAGAACACTGTGACATTTCTGATGGAGTTATTAGAAACAGGGCAGTTGAATACAGATGTTAAGTCTTTTAGTGCTCATACCTCGCTACTAAAATCCTATCCTATCCTCCTATCACTGGACCACCCAGTAAGACTTCCCTTCAGTGTTAGCTCTGTAGCACATTTGTGGCACGTAGTTCTTCACACACTGTCAAAGCCTCAGTGACATGACATCCGTGTCACATCTCCAAGTAAGTGGGCTTATAAAAACAGCATAATTTAGAAAGGATCAGGGTATTAGGTATGAACAGGAAAGACTTTAATCTGGGCACAAAAATAATAACTTTTATCTTATTTATCTTCTTCTTTTGACACTGTTTATTTCCTTGAATTAATTCTCTTATTGTGCCTGATAAATAATATCTTGGACAGATTTCTCTCAATTTACTTTAAACTACATATGAAGTGAGAACAATGAACCTGCTACAAGTGTCTTGGATGTGATACAACTATAGCCACACAATCTAAGGAATTTGAAACGTGATCAGGAGGTTAAAACAAATGAGCTGCTACTTGTGATGAATTGCTACTTCAGTTTTTGCTATTACTGTATATATTTTAAAAAATAACTCCTTAATCCCACAATAACCTATCAAGTTTTCACATATGCTGTTGTGCAACTTAAGCCTACCACTCTTAAAATTTACAAGGTAGTTTTGTATTAAGAAAAGGAGGTATGTAAGTAATGGAGGGAGCAATGAAGGAAGTAGATGATACATTCAATTATATTCCAATTATATCAGTGTTTGACCTTAAAATACTGAAGAATCATAGTGTCATACTGTATAACTGATAATCAAGCGTATTAATTCAATAATACCAGCACTTAAGCAAAGAATATTTGTGTGTATCAATTCTGGAGAATCTATATATTCTCCATATAGCATCATCCACCACTTCAATGAAACAAGTCAGCTGACTCCTGTGGATTTGATTGCCTTCTTTTAAATGCAGGTCAGTATTTAGCACTGGTACCCTGATGCCCATTCTCATTTGAAGAAGCCATTTTGTTACCTTTTGTTTTTATGGTAATCAGCTATCTAAACTGGACATTTGCAGTACCTCTCCTCACATAAATTAACATAATTTTGCTGACTTCCATGGAGTATTAATGACTTATCTCAGCTAGAGATCTATCCTGTTATTCAAACCCCACTCTTGTATTTATACTTGGTGAGGAACTGAGCCTCCTTCATCTTAAGTATTTCAACTTCTATCAGAGAAAGTCTTACCATTCTCCAACTCAGTTTTCACAGAATAACATGCTTTGCTTGCTCTAAGCACACATTTTCTTGCTTAGGTCTGCAAATGTTTCCAGCTAAAGATGACAACTTGCAGTCACAAAACTAAGTCTATATACCCACACACTTCAGAGAATCACACGTTCACCTGAGCATTTCGCTTATTCATGACCTTGTTATCACATATGACTAACTGTTCTACACCAATAGCCAATGTGCACAGGGATGAAAAAAGTGGCTGTTTTTTTTTCCTTAAAACTCACAGCTGATAGAACAATGCAGTGTGAGACAACCCATTGTTCACAAAATGAGAAAAATACATGCAAAGAATGGAAGGAATTATGTAGGAAATAGGTAATAATTTATTTATAGATCTCTGAAGAAACACTGAACTTAGCATATATACCTTCTGTTAAATAGTTGTACTATTCCTAAATGCTTATTAGCAATTTAAATGCATGCCAAACACCTGATCATAACTTACCTGATTCTCTTTTTGACAAACAACATGATGCTTTATTAGGTAATGTCTTCTTAGGTTATAAGGTTATGCTAGGTAACATGGTAACAAGGAAAACAAGACCGTTTGTGCTGCTGTTGGTATAAAGGCAGACTGAGGGCCATACATTCCAGAAATATGAGATTACAAAAAGCGCCCCACAAAATATCTACATTTATATTCACCATTAGGTTTTTTTTATAGTTAAAACATTATAGAACACAAATAATCAGTGAAAAATCCACATACATACATACACAAATATACAACACAGAACGGAGAAGAAAAATAGGATGTATAATGTATGGGGCAGAAAGACTGCTTCCAGCAAAAAGAAAATTATTCCTGATGGTCTCCCACATGCCTCTGTTATCGCCCTCGGCCATATCTCAAAACCAGACAGTTTCATAATTCATCACTTTATTACACGTGAATGAAGTGTCATAGTACCTGGGAGATAAGTGTGCCTAGAAAAAAGGGTCCTGAAGATGAAGAGTAAAATTAGACTATGATTCCTATAACAAGTTACTTTTACTAATTAGGCCTACAAAATTCCTGGAAATTTTTTGGTAGAAAATGCAGTGTAATGAAGACCTTTGAAAGTCAAGCAGTGGAGCAGGATAAATAATATCTCTGTCCTTAGTGGTCTAAAAATAGTTTAGAAAAGTATCAACTAGAACATATTTATACTTGTTTCCATCTTGGGCCAAAGGAATAATTAAATGATCATTTATGTGCCTCCATATTTACTCTCTATAGTTGTGGTAAGATATATGTACTACATATAGAGATATATGTATATATATGTACTCTCTATAGTTTTCATCATGGGATGAAAATTTCTCCAGCACTGCAAAGAAGTGAGATGCTTTGTAAAACTGACCTATAAACACTCTATGAGAGGTAGGATTGCTGCATATAGATTTTGACACTCAATTTAAGGTTGAGTAGTTTATATTAAAAAGGCAGAATCAGCTTTCTCTCCAGGTACTCTCCCCATATGACACCAATCAGCTTTCTCTCCAGGTACTCTCCCCATATGACACCCAGTTACACTGCTTTTTCACTTTTTGAAATGGGGGCACTTAATGATTTTTTTAAATGAAGAACCTGGACAGGTTATGTAGTTTCCTAAATGTCAGTAAAATCATACTAGGACATACTGTGTCACTGAACTAAGGTGTTAGCAACTTACTTATTACTTCTCCATATCTATTCCAGCTTCAGATAAAGTATTACACACAGTTAATTCTGGATCGTCTTAAAAACCTTTTGCTTAATTCTGCACTATTATTACTTTGCTCTTTCTCTGACCTCTTATTACCAGTGAAATTTTATTCTCTGCAAAAATTTACCACAAGGAAAAGCACTCAAAATCACAGGTTACATTACATGTCTTTTCCATACATTTGGAAATTCCATACATTTCCTCCCAAATATTTTGCACTGGTCTTTTCTACTCAGAATATTTTTAACACACATAAGAAGAAAAGGAAAAGAAGGAAACTGACTAGTGTATCAATCTATTTTCTTAGTTTACTCAGAATTAATTTTACCAACAAGTATATCCTTCAGTAGATCTACACATTCAGATAATATACCATAAAACCTTTTAAGTATGAACACAAACACTGATTAGCCAGACATATAACATCTACCCATGACTGATTTATTTTCCAATGAATACCAGAGAATGGAATAAAAATATCAACACCTCACTTTTGCCTTTCTTCTCCTGCCCTGGATTATATAGGCTGCAATCCAGAGATCTAGCAGACAGGCAATTAAAAGAACATCACATTTTAAATACTTTCTCTGTGTATTGACAGATACCGTCTATTGTGACTATGACTGTGTAAGGAGGTGCTATAGCTGCCTAATTCAATTCAGTCACCTCTGAGCAGACAGTGACTTTATAGGAATATACAGGAGATGAACAACAAGAAAAGAAAAATTAACTCTGTAAAGTTCAAGTATGAGGGAGCAAACTGATGTATCAACATAAACAGATGAGCCTGTACAGGTAGCAATCATTATTGCTTTGACCAACTAGAACTCTTTCTCTCTAGTGAATGCAGGATGAGGTAATTATTCAGCTGATAAATAAAAGAGCAATTGTTTGAAACCAAAAGTTGTAGTAAGCAAACAAAACAAGCTTAAGGCAAACAGCATATAAGACTATGCTATAAAGAGCTTTAAGGAACAACTGACATTATCTATTTTATTAAAACGAAATTTGCATGTACTTAAAGCAAGCATTTCCCTAAATATTGCCAAAGGAATAAATCTGATAAATAATAAGTGGGATTTTTTTTTCCTTCTTTTTATAGACCTTGAAAATTTTGAAACCAAAGCAAGAAGAACGGTGTCAGGCAGAGAAGGACAAGGAGTGGTTCTGCTTTGTGGTCCTCCACCTCATCATGGAGGTATGACAGCAGTTCTAAGTTGTAGGGAGTCTGAAAAAAATACTATTTCTTACAGCTCAAGAGAAGAAACCTATGCAGTTCACAGGCCAATTAACCCTAGAATTTGTGCAGCCCTCCTGAAGTTTTAAAGCAAAAGAAACTCAGGCTGTCCTAAAGCAGTATTTTCAAAGGAAGATCTGGAGAACAGGTCTGTTTACCAGGGGTAACTCATTCATTGGGCATACACCCTTAATTCTTCTTTACAGAGTCAATCATGACGTTCTGATTTTCAGCATCAAGTACTGCTATTAGACTATTCTACGTAGGATAAATTCACACGTCTTTTTAACTACTGACTGAACTGGATCCTACATATAACACAGAATTAGTAAATTAGTGTTTGTTTTCAAACCCTATTTGTGTACCTATTGGAAGTGAGCAGGTCTTGAGCAAGTGATCTTTTATGATTTTTCTTTTGCCTACTCTTAAAAGTGGAAGGCCACAGACATTCTCAAGTCTACACTGGGGCTGCTAAAACTGTATCAAAACTGCTTCAGCTCCTTTGATGTCTGGAGTAAAAGCATAATTTCCTAGCAAAACTAAGGATGATTGAAATTTCTACTCTTTTTGTATTAAAAAGAGATAAATTTTGAAATAAAAAAACTTATAGACCAATAAAGAATAGAAACAATAAAAGAAAGAAACAACAGACCAATTAACAAATCAGCTTGTTCTAGAATGAAAGAATCAGCAGTTTTCGGATCACTCATACCCAGCTTCCCAAGAAAGTGATCACACCCACGAGAACTTCAGTTTACTATGTGCTTGTTCTCAGAAATATCTTCTCCATTCTTCTGGATACTTGTCTTCTGGAGGACAAGTTATCATGAAAAGAAGGTAAATAGTGATCTATAAAGAGAATGCAATATACTGGAGATATAGAGAAACCCATCAATCAATTTAAATCCAGCAAGTCTTGAACAGAGAAGAAATGTCAGTTCACTTAGTGTTTACAGCAGTAGAAAAGAGGTATATAATCAAGAAGATGAAGTGTAACCCAATCCTTAAGGGCAGAAAAAGCTTGAAAGAGTTCCTGAGACATATTGGGGTGCAGACAGAAAGACAACACATCCATCCTTGACTCAGTAAACTATAGGGTTTCCTCTTGCTGTAGGGTAAAATTATGATTTGACAAATCAGACTGAGTAGAAGAACATTCAGAACAAATAAATAGTTTAACAGTGAGTTTAACAGATTAATTGAACTGATAAAATGCTGTCCACAAACAAACTCTTTGCCACAGTGTTCCTTAAGCCGGAAATGTGAGTTGCTGACCAACAGGCACGAAAAACATTATCTGATATAACAAGCCTCTAGAGAACAGAAACTGTCATCTAAAAAACACTGTATTTGTGATCCAAACCTTTCATTTCATCACTCAGGTGTGTTTCATATTCACATTACTTAGAACATTCAAAACCTGCATTTTAACAAGGTTGATTTTCAAACAACTATAGTTTTTTGATATATTGGACAAAAACATATTCACTTTTGCTTTCATTTAGAGTGTACAGAACCTATTTCTTTTTCTACATGAAAGGAAGCTGATATAAAAACTAATCGAAAAGATATACAATGTGTTAGGCAATTAGGTGGTAAGAAGCAAGATCCAGCAGGTTTAGGAGAGTTACTCCACAAGCTTTCACAATAGCATTAGACCTTAGGCTCTCAGAGAACAGAAGCCTCCTACTGTTGCTATTATTGCCATACTGAAGCTTCTAAGAGTCAATCTAGTCTAAATTTCTATTAAGAGATATTAGTAGCATTTGTAAAGCTAAATACAAGACTGCAAGAAAAACAACATTTTAAAGGCATACTTTACACTTAGACCCAGTAAGATATTAGAAAAGTTGCTGCAGCTAATGAACAACAGGAAAAACCCAGCAACCTTCTTAGGAAAAGAAAAAACTAAGCTGATTCACAGTAGACCCTTTATTTCTAGACCCTTCATTTCTTCACTGTTCCTGCCCCTTGCCTATTTTTGCATCAGCCTCTCTTTGGGCTCTGCTGCTGTTATTTGTAAGGCTCCCTAATATACCTTATGAAGTTGAACATCTAATTTCCTTCTGCTTGTTAATAAGGCTGTAGAGTCCTGAGTGGGAAAGCTGTGTTTCTTCCTCTGGGAAAAGTAATTTCTCTTGTCTATGCTCTTCAGGTCAGTTGTTTTTCCGTAAGTGATTAAAACAGTTTTGTTTTACTCATCAAAAATAGGAAGGTCTTATGTAGGTATGAGAGGTATAAAAAAAGCATGTGGAGACAAAGGCATTCTGATCCTTTCATTTCTATAGCTGTTCATGAGTTTGAACTGACTGGGTGATTAAGAAGCTTCTGACATTGATAATTCTTCGCTCTGGGCGAATTTATTTTTGTAGAACTGACAGAAAAAAAAATCTGATATAAGGACTCCTTTCTTCAAACTAGGCCCTGTGGAGCTTTAAGAATGTTGGAATATGAGGCATAACAGGACTCAAACACTTGCATTTAATTGTGCAAATGAACTTCCAAGAGCAGAAGCTTTCCAGTACAGCTTTTCTCTGTAGCACAATTAGCATAGCAAGGTTAGCTAAAAAAAATCTCAAAGTGAGACACCTGTAGACCTGCTTGGTGGAGAAATTGCCTAATTCTCAGCTAGTAGAAGAGCAAGATAGAGGAATACATGAAGCCAATCAACAAAAAACCTGGGTGTGTAGGAAGAAGTATGAGTGATACGATGAGAAAAGCAGTAGGACTTCTAGGTAAAAAAAGGTCTTGGAGTCCCTGCCCCAGGTTATTTCCATGTTTTATATTGCACAGTCTGACAAAATGCATAATCTGTGAAGTGGAAATGTATCTCCCCTTACAAAGCTGAGTACAGTCTTAATTATCAGTTTAGAGTTATTTTCTATCAGTTTAGAGTCATTTTCTCTATGCTTTTATCACTCAGCACTCCTTAACTTTTCTGCAAGCTTCAACAGGAGGATAGAAAGTCTCCTCTGTGACACTAGCCTTTAGCTGTTCTCCTGCAGAATCAGCAATATTGATTTAAATTTGCTCAGGCTGAGGAAAGCACAGAAATGTTTTCTTCCCTCAACCAGTTTATCAAAAGCGATTATCAACTGCTCTTCTCCCAGCTGTGCTCTGAAAGAAAGAGTCTACAAGTGACTGGTTTAGGCAATACTCTCCTTTTCCTTGGCCAAGCTCACAACTTGCCTATCAGCCTATTTCTTGGCTGGATGCAATGTCTCTTGACTTTGGATACAACCCATGATACAGAAGCAGGGTTTACTTAGATTTAGTTGCCTTATCCCACTCTAGATTCTGTATTTTCTCTAGGTAGGAAACAAACAATAAACAACAACAACAACAACAAAACCCGGAAGAACCTAATATTACATCTCTAAGAAAATAGTCTATGTTGTGGCATATGTATAATTAACTCTATATTCTTCTAATTATCTCTCCCCTGACATGTAGGTCCTTTCAAGTAAATGCAGTTCTGTACACTCCAAGGCATCTTCTCACACAGTTAATAACAGCATAAGAATCATTATCCTTTGAGAGCAAACAACACTTTCTAGCGTCAGTTCTCAAATATGTTCATTTGGGCTGAGACCAATCAGTAGTACATACTAACAGGAGCTGTAGATAGATATTAGGCAAAAGTTGAATAGAATTTAAAAAATATTTAGTTGAAGGTGATTAATGTTTTCTGAAGTTCCTATGACACATAGGAACTTCACACATAGGAATTGAATTAAAAATTCAGGGCAAAAAAATTATGACTAATATCACTCTATTTTGCCGTAGATGTTTCTGTAAACCAAATCCTGAAATTTTCATACTGCTCTGATACTTGCATGTACAGGTAGCAGCTTGTGGTTAAATAGAAAACAAAAAATAAACCAAGCAAAAGATAACTTAAACTTTTTCTTCTTCAGCCAAGTAGCTTACAACAACAATTTTCAAGTGTTCATTTTAGCTAGACTTCATTAGCTGGTTACTATTCTTTGTAATTTCACCTTTATACATCTACTATTCAGTAGATGTATTTTTTTACAGATTCTGCCCAACCACTGATTTACTCATGCAATTGAATGTAACTCTAAAAATGGTGGCATGGGCCTTTGAATCCTTTGCCCATTTAATGGGTCTTCTACAAATCTGATTTATTCTGACTAACCAAAAATTAAAATGGTTAAGTAACAGTAGCTTCTTTTATAACACAATGTATTTTCTAATCAATTATATATTTTAATATTTTAGCTTAATGTAACTTTCAAAGAAAATATATCTTTTAAGGCAGTTGGCCTTAAGATAGTCTTATGCCTTAGAAGAGAACAAAGGTTTGAGGCCCAAAGTCTGGTTCTTTTCTCTATCTCTCTCTCTGGATTTCATCTAATTCCCATTGAAGTCAATTAAAATTAGGACTTCTACAGAGTTGAGTGGATCTGAATTAGACTTTAGGCAAATAAGGCCCAGGGGGTTGGTGATGATGAATCCGCAGTTAGAAGAGTGGTAGTGTTTGTGTTCCTCATACTGGGGGAAAAGAATTTAAATATGAAAAGGAAGGACTTGCACTTGGTTCCCAGTTGATGGAAAAATTCATTAACAAGCCCTAAGGCAGTAATGCAGTACAGATGATAGACAAAAGAGAGTAACAGAAACTTTCGAAGCTAAAGTCAACTTAAAACTACTGAAAACTGAAACCAGGAGAGACAAGAACCGGCTCTTTTGCTAATTCAAGAGCTCAGTTTGTAGACTTACCTCTTAAAGTTGTTCTCTATAGCATAAAGTTGGTTTTAATAGATTCATACAGGATTCATACAGTCTATCTCGCACAGAGAACTTAGCTTCTTTTAACCTGAGCTTTATCACCACTTCTTACAGCAGGAATACTTCTTTTAATTATAGAATCACAAAATAGCTGGAGTTCAAAGAAAGCTTTGGAGATTATCTAGTCCAACACCTGTGCTCAAGCAGGGGCAGCTAGAGAAAAGTTGCCCGAGACTATGTTCAATTGAGTTTTGAGTATCTCAAAGCATAGATACTCCACAACCTCTCTGGACAACCTGTTCCAGGACTTCTAAAACATCCTATGGATTGTATTACATGGATTGTAATAGTAGACTATTTCAGTTATTTTTGCATCCTCTGGGTTAACTATACATCAAAAAAAGCCTGGTACAATGGCTAGAGTAAAAAGCAGCCTACTGCAGGATTTAGTGAAGTATGTAAAGAGCCACTGACCATTCTGTGAAAACATGTCATTTCTAATGATACTCCTATAGTGTTAGAGGATGATAACATAAAACTCCTCAAAATTATGAGAGTTTGCAGACAGATTACTGTACCAATGTCATAGTGGGGCGGGTAGGCGGAGCAGAGGGGCAGGACATAAATAATCTTTTTTCAAATGGGATTGTTGACAGGGGAAACGTGTAAATATAAAGCTATTGGCAGAACACTTAGCTTATGAATTATACATTTAATTAAGAAAAACCAAACTTGAAACTTATAATTTACTGTGTTTTATTAAAAACAGAATTGCAATATTACTCATGTCTCCGTTGGAATACAATCAAATGCTTCACACAGGTGTCAAGTGCCAGGTAGCTGGAAAGAGCAGCAGTTATACAAAAGGCTGACATAAAACTGAGGGAATGCAATGTTTCATAAGCCACAAATTAGTTTGCTAAGGTACCAATAGTTGCACAGCAAAGGCTCACCAAGAAGTCTTTCTGAAAACTAAAATCCTTACTCAGATGGTTAACTCACACAGAGTCCTGCCCTGCCAAAGTGGACTAGTCAAAGACATGTATTAAGAAACACAATATGGAAGAAGATGGTAAAAATAGGTTAAGAAGGAATCTGAAATAGGGCAGGAAACACAGCATGCAAAAATGGAAGGTGATGAGAAAGCTAGGATTGATGATAAGGGTCAAATATGCAATAGGAGAGAATACTAAATAAACCTCTTTGAAATGTTTGAGTGAAGCTTCTTCTTCAAGACTATCCTCTTCTTGAGGGTTCTTCTTCCTGAGAATCTGCTAATGAAGTTCCAGTTACCTGCTACTTTAGTCTGAGCAAAAAAGCAATAACACTATGTGACTGGAAACTGGTCCTCCAATGTTCAAAGTGAAAGTGCTATAAATAGAAATTATTTACTAAAACTACTTTCCTACTTAAAAATTCCTACTTAAAAATACTGATTCCTACTGGTGTAGGAATATGAAGAGTAGCAGGGACAAAGCTTTTATGACCTTCTGAAGCACCTTTAAATGAATTTAAGACTAAAGCAGGGCTTACCTTGCCTGAACTAATTTATTTGTGCCAAATGATCTGCCTTGTGACCGAGTGGTTCTTTCAGCAGGCTATTGCGTACTTAAGCACTAACAGGAAGTAGACTACAGTGGAAAGGATACATGATAAGTACTTGGTGTTTTCTAGGCTTGTCGTATGCATGGATCTTCAATAGCACTTTATGTTCAGGAAGATAGCCGCTGATTTGTTTCACACGAAACAGGAAATCTGTACATTGCCAAAGTAGAGCCATCTGATGTGGGCAATTATACTTGTGTTGCAACTAACTCTAACGCTGAACAAAGTGTACAGAGACCTCTACTCCTCTCATTATTTTAGAATGCTTAGGTAGAAAACAAGCAAATAAAAAAATACACGCTGACCAGTTAATCATCCATTATTTGATATTGATACAGCTATAAATACTGGTGGACATAAAGCTGTTAAGTGGGTATGATTCCACTTTTTCCATTGGATTGAAACAAGATTTGAACTACTAAGACAGGAACAGCAAGATAACGCATGCATGAAAGAAGATAATGTTCAATGTCACTGAAAAATAGCAAGAGAATGCCAAATGTTACGTAAATATTTTTAATCCCAAGGCTGCCTGTGTTCATATTGTAATCTGGCAAAGTTTCCTAAATTTTGTAATCTAAGTGCAGAGCTTGAGTATCACATGTAGAAAACTGTTTCAAAGTGAGACATTAAAGTAAGTCAGACACAAGTATTTTTATAACACTTAATTAAAGGGTCACAGTGAGAGATGCATACCCTAGAAATGTTTACATTACAGTTTATTTTATAAGTTTGCTCACCTAAATTTCAATGTAGGATACAGTTTTCAAGCAATCTTAATAGTAACAAAAATCTGTAGAGGATTATATTTTTAGAATAAGTTAAAATATACCAAATGCTATAGGATAATACTTCTGCCAAGAGACAGTGTTGTTTTATGACATTTTGAATCAGATCAAAACAAAGTTAAAGCTCCAAAGCTCAGAAGTTAATTTGCTACAAAGTTAACATAAGATTTTTCTTTTTCCTTGTTTTATTCCTTTTCAACTACCCACTTCTTTATTCCTTTCTTCCACGTCTTCTATCAATCTCCCCCAATCTCTTCTTTTTCTCTCTTCCCATTCACCTCAATGGCCTCTAGATTAGATCCTAAACAACTACTGACTAAAGCAACTGCATAAAATAGTACATGTGATACTAGCCAGATTTTTGTCAAATATAAAACAAGTATCAACTCATTTTCAGTGCGGGATCTGGGCAAAAACACTATGTGAGGGAGAAAATTCAATTCATACTCATGCCTGTTGCCATGAATTACACTAAAAGCTGCATGCACATTTAAGAAGTTTGGCTAAATGTTTAGTTTGCTGAAGCAATTCTTAACCTGCTGCAAAATTTAAATATTCTAACCTAATACTGGAGTATCTGTGGCTTATCCGGTATACAACTGGATTTTCAAATGTGATCATTACATAAAGTTATATCAATTGTTTTAGAGCCTAGAGCTCACACTCAGCTACTTTAAATAAAGTTCCAAAATTTTTAGAAGCATTTCAGATGGAGTGCCATTATTCTCACTTGCAGCCTATAAAGTTTTATGAGAAGCAACCATTCAAATTGACCAGTATTAGTGTCATCAGAATGAGCCCCAAATTCTCCCTAAAGCATTAATGTACTAGTAAAACATATCAGTATATACAGAATTCATACAAAAGTTATGCACTTCACTCTGAGATGCAAAGAATTTACACATTTAATGTTAACTTTCAGCACCAGTTTGGATTTCACACAGAAGACCAAGCCCAATCCAGGGAAATCACTTGTTGATTCTTATGTGAGAAATCTAAGGCTCTAACACTATTAATACTATTCTTTCTTTTACACTGAAATTCTGTTGTACTAGACAGGTCTGAAGCTCAACTGGAGTGCTAGCTGTTTTGATGTTCAACAGGTGTGATGGGGGAGTACAAACCGAAGATTGAAGTACAATTTCCAGAAACAACATTTGCCCTGAAGGGCTCATCTGTTAAACTGGAAACTTTGACCTCAGAAAGTAAGATTTTTTTGATTTTATTAAAATTCGGGTCCTAACACTGTTCTCCAATGAAAAAATAATGTTTCTTCCTAAACGGAATAGTAGAATTTGTCAGAATCGAAATTTGTCAAACTTACTTAATCCTCTTGGTTTATGATTGGTTCTGTGCAATATGCTTCCAATGTAATGAAAAAGGAAATCTCAAATCTGGTGCTAACTTTGTTATAGTTTGAATTAGGAAAAGAATAAAAACACACTATAATCCAAAAGAGTTTATTTTGGACTAAGAATAGACTAGCTTTTCAACATTCTGTAGTCTAACTGTAGATTCACATCAAATCTGTGCAGATGTCATCTGCATCAAAACATGAGCATGTTTTCTCCTTGACATCATTGTTAAGAATGAAACTTGGATATGGGCTAAAATTCAAGAGCACATCGTTAATGGACCACCTAGAATGAATTCAACAGAGCTTCATATAGCTCTTATCACTCTCTTTTCCACAAAGATACTCTAGAGCGCCAAACAGTCTTAGCAGTAGCCCTTCCTGCTAAAATCTTTCAGATTTGCAGTAGCCTATTTTTGCCTATGCTATTTATGCTGTAGTATTCATTTACAGAAGCATTTAAACTGCAAGGAGTGCTTTGTATTCAGAGAACAATGGTTAACTCAATAAATGTAACCAGACTCAGAAAACCAGTCTTTCCAGTGAGTGTACATTTTCTTTAGAAATGCTGAAAGAACCTTAGGTTGTTGACCTCTATTTAGTTTAAGTTCACTTTGACAACCCTTTTTAAAGGCTGTAAGCTTTTAAAGTGTTTAGAGCTTTCCCAGAGGTTAAAAGCCTGACTTGCAGGCAGCACAAATTAATCAAATGTTCCTGTGGAAGCTACATTGAGAAGTAGAGAAATAAAGCTAATAAAAACTTAATAAGAGAAGAAATGGTCTTTCCTTTCGGTTAAGACTTTTGCATAAACTAATCTTAGGGCTAATTTTTATATAAGGAGGGGAAGAATACTTTTACAGAGTCAAATTTAGAGTCACATGAAGGTTTGGGGTTTTTTTGGCGGGAGGGGGGAGCAGGGGGAAGACTGGGGGGTGCAAAACATGTATCAGATTTGTAACTTTTTTGCTAAAGCTTATTTTCCTTTCCATATACTGTCAAGCTACTTCTCTTTAAATACTTCTTTAATTATGTTTGAGTCACTACAGACTTTATATTTCAAGTTGTCATTTTGTATTTCCATCTGTTGCATGGAATGCATGTGATAGAGATACGCTGACTGCACTGAAGCATTTCAAAAACAGTAAATAATACAAGTAAATTAAGTCATGCTGATGTGATAAACAGAATGTACCTTTTTAGGCATGTTTTAGAGAGAAAAAAAAAAGTGGACTAAAAGAACATATGGATAATGAAATCCCTCAGCAAATACAGTACCTCTTATCCTGTACTTAGGAAATGAAATGACTGAGATTAATGCATCAACAGCAGCAATTCCTTATACGCAGGACTGCAGCTAACACTGGTGCTGATATACCTGCCCTGCATTCCACTAAGTAAACACCACTGATCCACGTGTGCTAATCCCTTTTCTACACATTTTTTGTATGATACTAATAATGTGCATATAGTGGGTTATATGTATATTGAGTAGGTGGTGTTTGTAACTAAAGACTTCTTAATGGCACATGTGGAAATTTTTTGCCTTAAAGATTTTTTTGAGTAGGTTAAAAGTCTAATACAGAGCACTGCTGTTGCTTTCAGTGTGCTTTTTCTCCTTTCTGACTGAGAAGACTTGTACCAAATATTTCACTAACACTGCAATCAACTGATAATCATTATTACACAGATAAGATTTATATACAAATAAAATAGGAGAGAAAAGGGATTGCAGGTGAAATAATCTTAACTTACTAGACAAAGATGGATATTTAGAGGTTCATAGATGATTAGTGGTAGTGCTAAAAGCTCTGAGGAACCTAGCTCCAGCTGTTTACAATTATAGTTAGGCCCATAAAAGTGCAGCAGTGTGGCCATCTGTACCTTTAGATGCCTAAATTCCACTAAAATTCTAACCCCTTCTATTGTCTGTTTATGTTAAAATCAATTCAGCTCAACATTTGTTGAGCTATACCTCTGATCTGCCACAAGCACTAATGGTTATTATCTCTCTTGGATTTCAGAACTACTTTCCCATTATACATAATTTTCTATATTCATACTGTTAGTCCACTGGTTCAGACAATGCTGTCAACTGCTACTACCTCTGTGCTATGAATAACAGATCTCTCACATCTAAGGCAGATTATAGGCAACCTGCTGTGGTTTTGGTCTGAAAAAAAGTCTTAAACGAATGCACTTTCACAGTACTTAGAATAGCATCTCTTCTCCATATGGAACAGCAAATCATACCTACTGGACATTGCTACAAAAGAGCTTCCACATTTGAAATATAAGCACAAGAAAAGAGAATTTCAACTATTAAGACTTTTTTATCCGGCAAATATCAAAGCCACATAATTAAGAAATATTCCTTCAAGAAGACTATAGGACCCTTAGAAATAGATGCATTCCGCATACCTCAAGTTACTGCTGTTCGAGGGCTTGAAAGTTGCAAAAGCTCAAGAAGGCCTCCAAGAAGAAGCATTCTTAGTGCAGTGCTTGTTGCAAAACTCTCTTCATGCATCTTCCACTAAAGCATCGTGATTAACACACACACAAACACTCAAGTCCACTTATGAACCCCAATTTGTTTTGAAGAAAACAAATACTGGTAGGACAAACAGCGCTGAAGCAATATGGCCACAGCGCGCCCTGTTCCAGCCAGTTCCAGCGGGTTCCAGCCAGTTCCGACTGGTTCCAGCCGGTCCCAACCTCTGGCACCAGGCCCAAACTGCAACCAATCAGAGTAGCCGTTGACGCCCTTGGGTGCCAAAGTGGTGGCCAATCAGAGGAGGTCACGGCCATGGAGGGCGGTGCCATGGCAGGGGTGTAGGTGGTGGCTGGGCCACCATGGCGGCTCCCCTTGCACAGCACAGTGCCCAGCAGGATCTGGGAGCAGGGCGGCCGTGGGAGCCATTGAGCCGGTTGAGGCAGTGGGTGCAGCGGTAGATCAGACGGGAGGAGGGCATCGAAGGCTGGAGCATTGCTTGTGCTGTTGCCCTGCTCACGGAGTCGCCCTCAAGCAAAAGGTGAGGATGTGGCAAAGGGTACCCTGTAGCTCTTCAGAGAATGAAAAAGGAATTTAAAAACTGAGGAGGTTGGAGCCCACTTAGGTCAGAGCAGTTGAGGCTGCTTTGCATGTGACAAACCCAAATAGTCAAAATGGTTTTACGTAAGCAGCTATAGAGGGATCAGTTGGAAGGCTTGAAATACATATATATGCATATGAATCAGTTCTGCCAAAAGTGAAACTTGCTGTGTTCCACCCATGCTCCTGATAATCGTTATGATTTGTACCTCACGCGGCAAGCTGGAACCTCCTGGTCCTAAGTGAGTTACAGTGAGCATCTTGTTTCCAGTGACACTCTGATCTCAGGATGCTGCCCCAGAATGAGCAACTATATCAGGTTTCATGTAACTTCACTTTTTTGTTCTTACTCAAATAATATAGCAAGGCTAGAGCTGTATTTTAATTGCTGTAACCCTTAGATTATTATTCTGCTGTGTGTTAGAAGTCGATGCAGACATGATAGCAGCTTGTGAATCTTGGCCTTGTCTCACTTGTGTAAGTAGTCATGTTTCTCATTACCTAAACGGCAAATTTAATTTTATTGTGAAGAGCCCTCAGATGTGCGGGATGAAAGACAAGGCACAAATGCAGTGCATCTGCTGACTGTGGAGCCTCTGCTGCAAAAAGATGGAACTTTGATTTTGGTGCAGGGTGTAATGCAGCAGAGACATTAATTTCTTGTTCATTGTGACATGACTTGTCACAACCAAAAAATATCTTCCATTTCCTTTTCTATCTAAGTTGATAACTTATGGATTTTTGATTCTGCTGTCAGTAGGGTAGAATATAAATAAAAATTAGTATCTGTGCCTAGTATTTCTAGATGCTCCAAAGCTTTCAAGTAAACTATAGATTTATGTACAAAGGCACTAATATTTATGTGCTGTTTTCTTATTTACACAGGTGAACGTAAGGCTTTACTCTTCATGAAGTGTCATAAATTTGAGTGTATTTGTTACTTTTCAGATATTGTAAAAATTTACAACCTCAGGCAATTACTTGTTTTAATCTGGTTATTGGCATTGTCTAAATGAAAAGAAAGTTTTTTTCTGTTTTGATTTTGGTTGCCAGGTCCCCTCAAGAATAGTACCAGGAGGTACTAATCTGTAACAGTGTCAGATGCTGGCCTTGGCTACAGTATGTTCGTGTGGAATTATCCTATGACAGTGCGCAGTGCTGTATCTGTTAAACTAAGTTTTATATATATTTACCTACACTTAGACAATGGCTTTACTTCTTAAAATATTAACTTGTAAAATAAAAATACCATGTAACAAAATTTCTCTTCTTTAAAGTGAATTTTAAATTCACTCTTTTCAAAGCTATTTAGATTATTATCTTATATTTCATATGGTCTGCCGTAATAGGTTGCTGCTAAGGGCTTCTATTGCAAAGATGGAAGCAACAGGAAGAAGGTGAAAACAGACAAAAGTCTGCCTCCTGTAAAATGCAAATGTAAAATTGAAGACTCTGGAAAGCCTAAAATCATGGAATATTTGGGGGCGGGGGGTGAGGACGGGAATGAAATGCTGGTCCTCTCCAACTGCCTTAATAATGAAGGTTCTCTTTATGGATGATAGTCACACAGCTAAAATACAGTCTACAATCTGCAGCATTCATTTAACCTGTAAATCAGGTTGAAGAGGAGCTGCTGTCCTAACAAATGAGTTCTGTCTTCTGATAAAACTAGGCCACTTGGTGCAGCCTCCCCAACAGGAGAACAAAATGCCATTAAGTATTTATTGCAATTACATATTTAAATAGAGCAAAGTTGATGAACCAAACTCTTGAGTTTTTTATCTGTCATTCTGCTATAGTTAACATCAGAGAATGTAAATTTCAAACCATTGTTATGAAAGATAGGGCTAAAAATGAGAGTTTGCCTTGAAACATCCCTAAGGAAGTCATTAGAACTATCTGGTATGGATAAGGAACAGGGCAGCATCTTCTGCTCACAGTTTGGTAAACTTGACTTGACAAGTTGACAGAAGAGACCTTTTTCTAGAGTCCTGCCTCCGTCCTAGGTGTCAGCTGCAGACTTTCCTTATTCATAAATAGTCAATACTAAGTCAGGCTGCAGAACAGGAAATATTTAGATGAAGCACTTTCAGGTGATGGAGCGTGAATGAATGCGTTTAACTTGTTTATCTCGCATCTTGCTGTTTGATTTCTTTTATCTGCTTGTTCCTCCAGAAAAGAAAAAATCTAGAAGTAGCTTTGAAGAAAGTAAAGTGGTTCTGGCATTCAATGCACTTCACGATTTATTGTACTATTCATCTGTTGTTTAATATGCAATAGCACTTTAAAACCTGGCCATGCTCTCCTTTGTCATCAACAGTCTGTATAAATCTATTTCCAGACTGCAAACAGTTCTAGTTATCTTCTTGACTTGTTCGTGGTGATAGTAGGACAGACATATTCAGTGTAATAGCTGCATTTTTTAAATGGTTAAAATGTAGTCTGGGTCACAAAAATTCTGCATGAATGATACTGCACAAGATTTATGGGGAAATAGCTCCTTTTAACTGAACAACAACTGCATTTGACAAAAATGGACAGGTCCCTGGTAAGGGATACTATTAAAGAGGTACCAGAAAGAATGTTCTTCTGCCTCTTATTGAAGCATAAATAATAAAGATGGTGATGGCAACTACGACTGTGGGAAGAATTTGAGGATTTAAGCAACTATTTAGGTTTTGAACCAGGGTAGTAAATAGAAGAACAAAATCTCAGTTATTCTTTCGATTTGTTTTCCTGGTTTGTAATGTCTGGCACATTCCAGTTTCTTATTAGCAATAAATTGCTCAGCTCTATTAGAGGTCACACGCAAGTCAGATACCTGTGTCTGCATATAGTGTGTGTGCGTATGAGAATATTTAGCATACAGGACTAACTTCAGAATCTGGAATAGATTGTGTGTAGTTACCACTTTCACAGGCAGCTCAGTTGTTATCATGATGAAAAAGGTGATCTAGCTAGTCAGCTATTTCGCTCCTCAAGTAGCTGGAGATCACTCAGTTAAATTTGTTGTCTCCATTTGTGAGTTATAGAGCAGGGGGAGGGATAGCCTTGAGATGCTGTTGTTTAGCCTGTTAACCTCCATCTGCATTCAGCAAAGGCTTAACCTCCAACGTACCTTCCCTGTGTTTTGATTTTATAATGCAGTGCAGAAATAAGCAGATATTACATGTTATTTGTTGTATTTCAGAGTGGCCTATCTGTACGTTGTCTTGCATGCAGTCTTTGCTTATGCACCTGTAGTTACACTGTGAACATCTAGCCATTTGTTCAATCTGCACAACTGGACAAGCATTCATGAAATTTGTGGATTCTTATTCTTGCTATATTTGAATGATTTCATGAATACCAGGGCTAAACAGATTCCAAATGCAGGATTTAGGCCTAAGTTTGCCTGATAGGTTAATTTTTGTTTGTTTGTTTGTTTTGTTATTTTGTTCTTTTGTTTTCTAGTGTGTGTTAATCACTTAGTTTCTCTGCTTAATAAACAAGGATTTGAACCAGAGAGCCGAATAATTTGAAATGTGAGCAGTTACAGCTTGAGATAACAAGCAATAAATGCTTCTTAAGCTGGAAAGCCAGGGTGGAGGTGCTGGGAACTATCAGAAAAGGACACATACTAATTCACATGAAAGTTATTTTAAAATTTAGAAGCGAGTGTTTGCTATTGACATTGCTTCCAATGGAAAAGTAGTCAGCATTTAGTCAAAGTTTCTATAAAAAACTATTCAAAATGTAACTGCTCTTCTGCCTAGGGAAAAGCAGCTTTAGTTTTCAATAATGGAAAAGCAACTGTGAAATCCAAGACTATTAATATTTCAAAGTGTTCTGGTGACATAATAGATCATGAAAGTGAGGCTTGTATGGTGTGTGATATTACCAGAAATCCAAGAAATATATATAGCTTTCTTCCCACTTGACTATTTTTTCTCACATAGAATACATTGATCCAAATATAAATGAAAATGATAAGCTACAAAAGCATGAAACAAGAAATATTCTCTTTGGTCTTTATCTCCTTTCAAACTCAGTGTCTAATGCTTTCCCAATTCCTTGCTCAACTGTCCTTCTGCTCACTCTATCCTGCCTCCTTTTTTTAATACCTTGATTTATTGGTTTTAGCTCCTCTGAATTTTTGTCCTATACTTCATATTGTAAAATGTGGAGATACCTCTAATGCTACAGAGAATTTGTTTACTGTGAAAACTGGTCAATATTTCAGCGCTTCTGTGTGTTTATTTTCATTTCCAAAGTTTTTCCTTCAATTATCTGTGTTTAAGGGTGGGAGTTAATGTGACAAAATCAAACTGATCCCATTGTAAGATTTGTTTTACAAAACAAGTAAGATGAATTACAAAACCATGCTGTTATTAACCTCTGTATTTCATTTGTAGAAACATAAATTATTCATTTTTATTATTTTATGGTCTTTGACTACTCCTCCCTAAAACTACAAGGAAATTGTATCCGCTGCTATAATAAATGTTCTTTCTTTTTCTGTAATTGCAATATAATTATTTAGTCCACTCCATAATATAAGTTGGAAGAGTCTGATGGAAACTCATTGAGGAAACTCAAACATGACAAAACCAAAGGAGTACTTGAAATCCAAGATGTTCAGAAAGAAGATGAAGGCTCTTATGAGTGTATTGCAGGAAATACTCGAGGAAGAAACACTGCAAGAGGTCAATTATTTGTCTATGGTAAGCAGATTATTTTCTTCATTTATTTTAGAATATGGTAGTGTGAAGATGTGTTTTTCTAAATGAAGTCTATTAGCCCCATACTGAAGAGATGAAATGTAGCTTGGGTTAAGCTGATTAAAAAATGATTGGAGGTCTTCAGTTACCTTCACTGAATTAAATCTTTAGCAAATGAAGATATTTTGCATTAAAGCTCAGATTGGAAATGTGGGCTGTGCCATGATGAAGTTGTAAAGGTTAATATGAGACATAAAATCCCCAGTATGCTTAGACGTAACAGTAAGGGCAGACAAAAAGGTTTGCTCTCAGCACCTCACAGTAGCATGAAGCTGTGCTGCCCCAGAAGAAGATCAGGGAGCAGTCTCCCACAATCTGATTCCTCCTTGTCTAAAAGTGGGGAATAATGTTTCTGTGAACCTGATCCTGTCTTCTGTCTTCCTTCCTGTGCTTATTAATTGCCTGCAGTCAAAGTCATGTGATGCTTCATTATAGAAGTGAATTATATGCTTTTTATGCCCATTCCTAATGCAGAGGGTTAAAATGGACATATTTTGACATGAATAAGAATTTGTGGAGATATTCTCTTTAGATCATGATTTTTTTAGAAAGAAGAGAGAGATAATACAGCAATGAGGAAAACTACAGAAAACTAAATTATGAGCCTGTGTTTAATATCTAGTGAGAAGACCATGGCAGGCTCTTTTTTTGAGAAAGTCTCTGCTAATACAAACAGATACAAGATTTATTTTCATTGTCCGCTGATTTTCACAGAATATCCATCAAGCAGTACCATTAAAATTAAGTTCAGAAGACTAAGTGGACATGAGTAATCAAATTTAATTTCAAAATTATGATCATTTAATACAGTTTAAAACAATGTGCTTATTAATTATGCTTTGTAAATTAATACTTGTTGCTAGTGAAATATAACAGCACTCATGAAGCATTTGCACAAGTTTTCTTATAATTTTAGGGATGGTTTGGTATATTATCTATGTAACTGACTTCCTCTTAATTTCTTTACGGTTGTGTCTTTATTCACTCTGTATATAGCTTGTTCATTTAGGAAATAAGCTTTCTGATGCAGGCATTGTTTCCTCTTTTGTGTATGATTCTATAATCAGCATCTTAAGCTCTGAGAATAATAAAGGTGCCAAGTAATTAGAATTGGTTTTAAGCATGGTGTCCTTTGTCAGCTTTATCCCAGATACTTACACATTTTATAAACTCCGTTGTTGAAGCTGTGTGAACCAGATGTTAGATGATCGTGGGGTCAGGACGTGACTACCAACTATCAGCCAGTTTCCCAGCGATAGAGAGCTATAAATAGGGAAGTTTTCAGCATCCTGTTCTGTTTGACTCGGTGGATGACAATTCCTTCCCTAAAACTGTCTTTTATAAGGACTAAGTGTGGAGTGTATAGAGTTGTACTTAAATAACTGAGCCAAGAAAGCCAATGTGCTTCTACAGAACATTAAGACTACATCTATTTATTTTAGAGGCCGGAGGCAGAGAGATCTGACCTGGGACCTCTTGCTAAGCATCCAACTCTGGTCTTATCTGAAGTTAGAAGTTACTCATATTCTACATGTGAGCCTCCCTCAAATTAATTCCTCCTCAGTTGAGTCCTCATGTGTATAGCTGGATGTGTTTGAAGCTCATACGTGATTCTTGCTGGTTCTCCTTTTACATAGCAGTATAAACTTGATGTGACAATGGGCTATGCTCTTGCAAATATTTAGAATGTTAGTCTAATCTGAATAGCTCCATTTTCTTCATGTTGTGTTTGTGTTGTAAATTATATTGAAGTAATCGGTGGACTCAGATAATGGTGGTGTCACTTATAATCCATCTTTTTATTAGCTACTGATTAATGATATTGCTACTGCTGTTTTTCATCTACAGACTGAAGTACCTCAAGATGAAGGCTGTTTTTTTTGCTTTGTTTTGTTTTGTGTCTTTCTCAGATTGCCAGTGTCCCATTCCTTTCATCAAAGACATCTAGATTTGGGGCATCTAAAATCCCTGCTTGTTTCTGCGAACTTGGGTTGTAGAAAGGAATAATATCTAGTCTGAGCTTCCTGATCCCTAGTCATTTGATTGCTAAGATTTTTCTAAGATGGTCCTCAGGTTTAATGCCAGAGCATTGCTATTTAGAATACACTTGCAATACAGAATGAATGCTTGGTCAAATACTAACATTATTCAGTACTGTGGAGTACCTCCAGTGAAACAACCATTTTCGTACTTAAAATGGTTTGCCTGTTCTTTTCAGCACTCCCCAAATGAGATAAAAAAATCCAAAATGCATTTTTGTCTGTCTATGACAGCTTATTTTGGGAATGCAAGGCAAAAGGAAAACCAAGTCCTTCCTACAGCTGGTTAAAAAGTGGCCAGCCTCTCATGTCAGAGGTAAGGTTTTATCTTCCTGTTTGCTTTCTTACATATCTCTGTGTTTTCACAGTTTGGTCATGGTGTTCATTTTAAACTTGGTCACCTTTTTTCCAGAAACTTAATATTAAATTTTAATAAAAATTAATATAATAAACTCTTTGCAATACTAACCCCGAATAACTGGATATTAAAAACATGTATACTGTCAACCCCTTATTGTTGTATACAATCTTTGTATCTATCTTTGTACAGTATATTTTGCATTTATGTATACTATATGTGTGTGTGTGTATATATATGTATGTATATAGTGTATGTATATAAACTGTATATATGTGTATATAGTGTGTATATAATATTATATATAAACACACACATATACTTTGATACAAATACAGCAGTAAGCATGCACAAGTTCAAAATTAACAAGTGTAATTAGTGAAAGAAAAGCCTGGCTAGAATTACTGAACACATGCTTATAGGTGCAGTCTCTAATGCAGGAAACCTGTAGGATGACAATTGTTTGTCTGTGGGAAAAGTGTTATCAGCTAGTGTTACAAACTCATCAGCCTGTTAACATACACTTCTCATTCTGCACTTAAATCTATAGGCCAGTGTGGCCATTCTTATTCTCTATTAATCAGGTAACTGAGTTAGTTATACTCAGTGTTAACTGATTCTCATAATACTTACCTGGAGCCAAGTGTAAGAGTAACAAACCAAAGGAAAACAAATGATATGACAAGCAAAGGATGAGTAGGTGGTTCACTTCAAGGATAAAGACCAAAGCTAGAATGGAAATAGTTGAATGGTAGGATTGGATGAAGAAAGGGGAAATCAACGGGACCTCAAACATGTAATAAATCTGATCAAGTGCTTATGTGAGACAAGTCTTTGAGAACTTAGTATATTTTTTTTCACTACGTGGTGGTCTAGCTTTGGATCATCCTTTTTCCAGTCTTCAGTTGTTGGCTACTTCATGGAAAACAGCATCTGTGGCAACAATTTCTTTGCAGTCTGGGTTCTACTGAGGCTGATTTTCTCTAATGTATTTAGCATCCTTCAGGCATAAAATGGCATGGCTCATCTGTAATGCAATTTTATTTCCCAGGGAAGAAATAATACTGGATTTGTTTCTGTCTAGCAAGAGCAGATACAGAAGCATTTTCAAAACATATGAGGTAGATGATTAGCACCTTCTGGGTCATGGCAGCAGCACTTGTTTGACTTACTAGTGCTATTTGAATTAATTGGAGAGAGGTCTGACCTTCCATATGATTTTTTTTTCCTACTGATTTAGTCCTAAACAGTGCCCAACTAGTATCTGAGAAGGCTAACTAGAATTTACTTGAATAGCAATTTTTCAGAACCTATTAATTTTACTAATATTGTTACTTCCACCTAAGCAAGATTTTTTATTTCCCTCCTTACTTTTCTATCTTTGTCTTTGAAGACAGTGATATTCAGAGTCTGTCACTATTCTATTGCATCCTTTCAATAAATGCTTTATAGATATTTTCAACCAACACTTTTATAGTACTTACTGTGTGTTGTAAATGGAATACTTCAGGCAACAAAATACTCAATATTATTGCTCAATGGACAAAATGGATAGTTTGGAGGTGAAAGTACAAGGGAGGTGTAATATATTCTGTCACATATCACTTTTGCTGGAAATCTCATACAAGAAAAGCACTCCATATGCTTTCCACCTTACACCTGAGTTGGAGCATATTGTCCACTTTGTCAGACCTTTCTCTCAGGCCATCTAATTGATCATCTGTGTTATTTCTGCTTGTGTACATGTTGTGATTTATTCTTCTTTGTCTGCATAGCTCAAAAGAGCCAGCTGAGATGAATAGAGAATTCAGCATGTGTATGAAGTGCTAGTGTTACTTCACAAAATGTTTTTATATTCAAAAGATGTTTGTAAAAACAGAATGCATTGAGGAGGTAGCAAACAGCCTGAAGGTAAAACTAAGTATGTCGAAGATATCTGTAGTGAGAGCTTCAAAAATTAACAGTGGATAAATAATGTAATGTTGCTAATTATCTTGCAATATACCAGCCATACAACTGCAGGCTGTGCTCTCATGAAATTTCCAAGTTAAACAAGATTGGGCTGGTCAGCTCTTGGTTGGGAGACCCCCAAGGAAAATGCAGGGGGTGAGGAAGGAAAGTTTGGCTCAACAGGCACTCTCCCTCTGGATGTACACTGCAAAGATGACCAGTGAACAGCCCGCGAAACTGGCTCATATCTGACAATTAGTTGTACAGAAAATGCTTAAGGCTTCCAGGGGTGTGCAGCCTTTCCTGCCCTGCAGTGTTTGCTTCATGGTAAAACATAACCACAAACTCACAATTCAACAACGAGCTGAACATATTATACAATGACAATGGGTAGAGAAACCTTCCAAAGCAGTGACCTTTCAATATGTGCCTAGTGCTCTTCAAATGCTCTGAAGAGCTTAGTGGTTGTATAAGATAATGACGATTGTACTATCTTTAATATGATTGATTTGTCCATGTTACTTTAAAAAAAAAAAAAAGCTATCTCCACCTCTGAATCATGATCAGGCACATTAGTATAGTACCAGAGAACTTTGGGATTGACACTAACTCTGTCAATATTTTTGTCTTTTTCCACCATTTACCAGGAGAGAATTCACATAGAAAATGGAACTCTTATCATAGCTGTGCTGAATATGTCAGATTCTGGCCTCTATCAGTGTGTTGCAGAAAACAAATATGATACTATTTATGCCAGTGCTGAGTTGCGGGTGATAGGTGAGTAAACATTAAAATAAGCGGATACTGACTAGAATAGGAAACTCTCTTGAAAGTTTAAAATCAAGAAGTGAATGGATTAAATTCTACCTGGCAGTTCAAGTCTGCACGTACTACTTTCCTAGTTACTCTGTGAATCATGTTCTTGATTTCTTGATTACATATCACTGTATCCCTGTAGTATTTTTCCAAATAAACAGTTTAGAAATTGTAATATAAGTAGGACATAATAAATACCCTTCCTTGATACTTAGGTATACTTTTGTTTGATTTATCTATTTTTGCAGAAACTACAAAAGCAAAGCAATTATTGGATTCCCTTTATTATATTATTCAGAGAAAAAATTAGCAAGTTTATTTAACCTGTCAACTGCGTGTATTCTGCTCTTTTTTATTTTTTAGCTGCAGTCCATGATTTTTCCAAAAATTCAGTGAAAAAAAAGTCTGTTTTTCAAGTTGGAGGTGAACTCACAATTGGATGTAAACCAAGCGCTTCTCCCAGAGCGCTTATTAAGTGGACAAAGGACTTGGAGGTTTTGCGCCAGAGCAAAAGGTACTGTAATAGTTTTGTGGGTTGTTGGGTGTTCTCCGCTCTGTTAGCATTATTTAAACATCACTGAAGCGCAGCTGACTTAGTATTGCTTTTGACAGCTCATTGATGGAAAACTTTGATGCCAGAGGCCTATTCGTCTTTAGCAGCGGCCATATAATTCTGCAGCTATAACGCTGATTTAGAACAAAGCTAAATTAAATACACATGGGTAATCGTGTGATACATATGTTTGTGTTCATCAGCAGTTAATTCACTGCAGTGCTACCAGAATTGACTGTTTACCACGTACAAAGCCTAAGTGAATCCGCTTCATGTAGAAGACATCAGTGGAGACTTTAGGGGAAGTAGAATATACCCCCAGGCTGCAGCATAATTGCTCAGCGTCTGTACACATTGTCTAATAACCCATAGGCTATATCAAGTCTCCATATTCTGTCTTTATTCTTTAGACAAGATTTCACCAGTGAACCAGGTTAACATTATATTCCCTTGTCATTACAGTGAGGTTTCTTCCTCATATTCATTTCCATCAAACAACCATCAAACTATTTTACACAATGACATGAATGTGAGTTGGAAGAAACTTCATGCTACCTTCTCACATGTATTTATAAAGTAAAACTCTTGTGGTTTCTTGACACCATGGACAAGAGCAGAAGTGCTAGGTGCTATGCAGATGAATGGGGAGAACAGACTTGATGGTTTGGCGTTCTTGGAATAGTGCCAGTTTATGTAAGGTCCCTCAAGTAGCTCTTTGAGTGTGTTGGGATGTTTTTCTTTTGTTTTTAAGTAGCCTTCTACAAAAGTGACAAGGTTATGATACTAGAGTGGGAGAAGATGAGCTAAGCCTGATGCAGTGAGAGGATAACTCAACTTGGTAACTTTCTCCAGCCTTCTAAAACTTGGCAAGGAAAAGCAATTGCAAAATATTTTATACTCCTTGAAATGCTTTACTTTGAGAAATTGTTGTAAGAAATGAGCTAGGATAACATCTCTGGACTTTGGATTACTAAACATTTCCCTCTTCCATTTTACATTTACATGGCAAAAGTACTCAAAAATATTAATAACTTTGTATTAACAATATTAATTTTAAAATGTCTTAACCCTTAAAATAACAGCAAATCCATAATCTGTCATTACATGGTCTTGGCAGAATTTCTCTGATGTTTTGTCTGCCAAGGCTAAATGTTTATTTGACAGGTAACTGCATTATCACAATGTTAATGGGAAGACAGTATCAAAAGCTACTTGCTGCCTTATATGAGTTTTGATTAGTATACACTAGCTATTCATCAGATGCTTTCTCTGTGTAACGTTGACATATTAAATGGGTAACAGTGTCTTAAGTATCAGTGTTTCTCAGCCTGACTTCCAGTCCACCAATAAGAACAGTGTGGTTTTCTCATGTCATTCTTTTCAGTCTGAGTATGGAATCAATCACTCATAAAGCTCTGCAGGTCAAACATACTGCTGGTCGTTCAGGCGAGGTTCTTCTGATCATGGAAGACTTGAAATGATTATAGTTCATTGAAACAACATGATACCCAAAACTGTGACACAAAACAGGAACTTTCTATTCCATACTGCAGCAACATGCGCTGCTGATAAAAGGAAAATAAAGGTCTGATCTGCTGCTTTGCACACAGCTTTAAACTGAAGAGTGTATGCGAAACTGCAAATCTCATGAGAGGTATTTTACATAGGTACTTGCAATAGAACACAGCAAAACTTGAATCAGTGGCCTGCACCAGTGTCTATAAAATCTCTTGAAGAGAGCTGTCAATGACTTTTCCATCTTTTCAATAATGCCAGTTTTGTTCTGTGTAACTGCTCCATTATTAACTAAAAGTATTTTTCTAATTAGAGCTTAGTAAATTCTTATTTGCATTTTGATTGTGCAGTCTGTTCAGTGAAGATGTGTATTCATTCCTACCCAGTGCAGTCTACTGCTATAGTATGTAGGAAACATTCAGTATGCATAACTTGCTAAGAGTAATAACTACGTTTTCTGACGCTTGTGAGTATGGCAGCAGAGAGATCAGCACAGTCTAAGATGTATAACACATAACTCAGCTAAGCCTGGAATTTGAGGCTATGGCATCATGATATTCCCATCTGATTTGCTTATAAGAAAACAATATTTACATACTGCATATGGTATTTACTTGTAGTTTGGTATTAATTTACTAACAATAATTATAAACATGGGTTGATTTCAGAGTACCCCATAAGACCTCCTGCTGCTTAGCAAAAGTAAAGAAAAGAAGTAGAAATTACATTGAGGCAGAGGGGGAAGGAGTTTAAATTGTCCATATGCAAAACACTATACCAGTGTATCCACTGATGCAAAGTGATATTTATGCAGTTTTCATTTGTTAAATGACAAAATGCATAATACCACAGTTTTAAAGAAGATAAAATAATCTACACAATATTTTTTCCAGAGATCTTTGGGATGAAAAACAGAAAATGAAGATTTGTAGCCTGTAATTTTCTTCTCACCTGAGCAAAGTACTAAAATCACATGTTCTTTCTTCATAAAGAGAAAGAACCTGCTCTGCCTCTTTGCATGTGATTAAAATCTGACATGTCACGCATAGATGAATTATTTTGAAGCTTATGTTATTTCTGCTCCTATTAAACTGTGCAGCATATATGTGCTTGTAGAGAGGGGGGAAACAGTCCCTTTGCTCTGACAGCCATACTGTGACAGGCACGTGTGGTTTGACTTATATAGCAATAACTTATTCTGAATGACTTAGACCAATTCAATCTTTTCGTACAGAAGTAGTGCAACTAGCCTTTGGGGAGTATCCCACTCTAAAATAAAAACCATATCCTTTTTTTTAACTCATAAGTGCATTTCTGATGGTCATGCATTGGTAACTGTTCTCTCTGATGCTCTGAGCTCGATATCACAAAATAACACTGCTTTGTGTTTATCTCTGTTTGTAGGTATGCAAATAAATGTGCCAAGTGGGAAAAACTAAGTAAGTTCTTATTAATAAAAACACCATGGAATAATTTTTATTCCCTTTGGTTTTAACAAACTTTGTTTATCAAATTGCAATATTTGTGCCTCTGTTGTTTGATCAGTATCCTAAGATTTCCTGCATCTGAAGAGCCTTCCTTAGCCTGTCCTGCTACAGTGAAATGGTGAAGATCCTCAGACCTTAATCTCCTTCTCAGGGCAGAGACAGCTTCCTCTGTCCCTTACTGTCTCTCCCACCTTCTTGGTAGTTCAAAACATCTCAGCCTTGATCCTCTGTTGCTCTGGCTTAAAGAATATACTTCATGATGTGTGACAGTTGAAGCATGCACGCACATCCTTTAAACATGCGTAAACATACCTGAATATGGTCTGCTTACTTTTTCCCATCTTAACACCCTTTCTACAATTCCATATTCCACTTCAGAATTATCCAAAATAGCTGAAATCTAGTTTGTACAGCTTGTCCTGAGTTGTTGTGTGTGTACCGTTTTATAGAGGGCATTTGAGATCATTAGCCACACCAATCAAAAAGGAATTCCATAATTGTCTAATCATAAATCCTTCTGTTTCTAACCTCATCACTCTTCAGATGATCTGCCTTCAGTGTCTCCCGATTAGCTTCCTTGGATTATCTACTATAGCTTCAGGTTTTCTTTTAGGCAATTAATCTCCTCTGCATTGAAGTTTTGAGAAATGGTCTTTCAGGAACAGTGCTGCTTGCCCAATAAGCAGCTGTCATAGTTTAAAAGAGGTTTTGTTTGCCCTTTGTTAAATGAAAGACAAAAAGGAAAAACTTGTGCTCTTGAATGCCTAGGCAGTGATGCTTGATATAGACATGAATTATGTTCATACGTGTTATATTCTTAAGAAGCTGAGGACTCCATGTAGCTGTCACGTGCGCCTCCAAGGGAAAGGGAGAAAGAGCAGAAAGAGTTTTTATAGTGCAGCAGAATTTCCAAGTCTAAACACTGTCCTCATCAGAGATTTGTTTTCCTGTTGCTTTGCAGGGCTGGAGAGGCTGTTTTTTGGAGGATTGGGGTTTTGATGCGTGGTTTTTAGGGAGCAGACAAAAAGTCTTGGAGTCAATAAAGTATACTGAGAGTTTCTTGACTGCTAGTCTTTCTTGTAAGATGCAGTTCAGTTCCATCCCAGGGAAGGATGAGAACCAATTCTCTGCTATGATGTGCTTAGTTTCTTTTTCCTTCTGTTACACAACTTGGAGTCAGAAGTTTTATCACATTGTAAATTTTTATTATTTGTGGAAAACTGTATTGATGTGAAGTGCTATTAGATTTAGAAAAAAGATTTTTTTAAAAAAAAGCCAATTAATTGGCAAATTTTTAAAGCCTTCAGTCCACTGATTAAAAATAATATACCAACTACATTGTACTGTGAAATAGCATTTTGACTTGAACCAATTTGAGAAGAAATGTGTCAGGGCAGTTCAAACTGCAGTTCAACATTTCAATTACCAGAATGTCAGCTGTTTTTGTTAAGCTTCTGCTGAAGCCTTCCAGAATATCTTAAAAATAACTAAATTAAAATCTGCTTGGGGAAAATCATGGCAAAATGTGTTGAAATGTCCAAATTTTGCGCTACAGTACTAATGAAAGAGAGAACTGGTGTCACTTAACTTTCATTTAGCTGAAGTAAATATGCATTTTAAGATAGATATTTACATTTTATTGGCAGGCACCGCCATCTTAAAAGAGATGCCTAACTTTTAGATGAACAAAGTTTGGTGAATGAAACTTATCCACGGTGTTTTGGGGAGAACTGTAGTGAGCTCACAGTGGATCAGTAGGAGGCCCAAAGAGGAGCTTTTGTTTTGTCACACCTCTTTGAACCAGAACTGCTTTAAGCAGCCACTGTTTGGAGATAAAAGTAGTATATACATTTGTACACTGGTAGATAGTTTTATGTGCAGTGTGTTTTCTCACACTATGCAGTACTTACCCTTCTATTCCCAGCTTTCTATAGTAATCCAGTTAAGTGAGTAGGAATG